AAAGAAAGAGTGAGAATAAAAGATTTCTTAATTTTGGAAGAGATGCAAAGGAATCTCAAGTGTTTCAGAGAGCATTCCTTTTGTGCATCTTCTATTCTTTATTTTACATCAAATATTCAAACTTTTAAAATAAGATTCAGAATCACAGATAAAATTCACAAAGAGACACTACTCAATGCACTAACATTATTCTCCTTAGTTTCCACTTGACCAGAGCATCACTTTCTTCACATTTGGAAACGTTACTGCCACGTCTCACATAATTCAGAATTAATACTATTCACAAAGGAAGCAATTTATTTTGCTCCATATGCACAGTTGTCATTTCTATATACAGTATTGATAGGAGCCAAAGTAATTAAAGTAAGTGAAAGCTCAAAACCTAGTATAGAATCACCCCAGTACTACCATCTTTCTAGCTTCATAAAGTAACTGTTTCCAGAATACGGAAGTAGAACAGCCCTCTCTCACCCATAAGGCATAACACCACTAATATCATGATTAAATTCAATCTTGATTTCTCTCATAGTAACTACTTCTTGAGGAAACAGGATGACGAAAACTGGTACTACCAAACGTTCTTCAGAGTCTCTCTGCCCTTCTGTAAAATCAAATACTTTCTTTATCTAAAGCCCACAGAAGCAGGGCACCAGGAACCCAACTAGTAAGGGGAAACCAGGATTTGTTTCTTCCCACATATTCCACCTATGGCTGTTAAAAGAGAAATTCAACAAAACCAGGAAGATGGACGCTGTATCTGCTAGAGAAAAGCCTGTTTGTGTTTATATCACAGAGGAAAAACTACTTAAGACCTGTTCATCCAAATAAAACTATTACCCACTCCTGGCACCAAGACCGTTGACCTGCTTTAAGGCTCCTGGCCTTAAGTTCTCTCTTACTATGGTTTTCATAATTTCAGCAAATCTCTAAGAACATAAGCAATATGTTTACTTGGCCTTATCTATAAATAAACAAACAGATACAGAAACAAGCCCAAGAAAAAAATTGAATGCATGGAACTGAAAGATGCTTGAACGTTATGCAACTTCCACAAGCATGGGAAACAGGATCAGAATACTGTACTTTAAGTGCCTGCCACACACAATTTTTTCACAACAATAATCACCTCCCATAACTTCTCTCTTATTTGAGATATTGCTACCAATATCTCTTATCACATGCGACAAAATAAAAGGCACTATATATAACTTCAGGTGAACATGCCTCTAAAAATGCATAATAATAAATGTATAACAATTATTCACCTCCTAAAAGTATGTAAAGGATGACTAAGACATTGGCTATTTTGGCATTGATTAAGCCTGCACAGATCACTGGAAAATACAGAGCTTGTTAAAAAATAGGCCAAAACAATCAGTTGACAATGGCAACCCCTTCCTCCTGAGACGAAGTAGCAAACTGTAGGACTAAATCATCACACTAAAGGAAAGAGAAAAAAACCGTCACCACATCCTGCTGGATTACATGGGCCATACAGCTTGGATTCGAGTTTAGCTTACAGAGGGGTTCCCTTCAGGGCAGAAGGGGCACCGTGACAGAGGGAAGTGTGACAGAGCCACTGCCTGCTCTACTATACCTGCCCTGAGAATAATAGACATCCACAGTGATCACCACAGCATGTCAACTAAGCACAATTTCTATTTAAAATGAGACTAGATTAAGAAGTAACACCCTTATGTTTAAACTAGTTAGTTTTAAGTTATTATCAAGTATTTTCAAAAACCAAGGGTCACCAGTGTAGGATAGTCACTGCACACGAATTCTATAACCTGCTAAAGTTACGTTTTTGCGAAAGCAATTACTCTGGTTCCTGAGCACCCAAGAGTGCTGACAGCATGCGCTCCCAATTTCATCAACATTCTCCTGGCAATCACCTGCATGAGCCTGAAAACATTTTCAGTGTTAGAAGGCAATGTCTACGTATACGTATCTTATGTATATACATATGGATATATCTGTGTATACACACACACACACATATACAGGCACAGACATATACATATTTATAGACAAATATATACACATTTATGGTTTGATACACAATTTGGAGATATATCATACACAGTTTTTATAAAGCTCTAGTTATATAGATATAAAATTATAATTATATATATATATAAATTTATAACTATTCACAATAAAATTTTATTATAAATTTGAAATCAATTTCATTATCCAGAATTGTGCAATACAGCAATCGATAAACATTACTCAAACTCTGACTGGACGATTGTATTCCTTGACACTTACATATCTTTAGTGAGTAAGCTTAATAATTTTTTTTCCTATTAATGAGTAGTAAGACCACTCCTACTTCAAAGACTTGGGTACTTAAGGTTAAGATAACTGTAAAACAGATATCAACTTAAAAATATATTTCATTTTTAAAACCATGTACTTGCTCTGTTACAGATAACACCTTACAACACTCTCAGTAGATATCTTCCAGTTAATTACATGACATATCTAACAGCACGGCGTATTACTTTCTTATGCTGCTGAAATATTCTTTACATCACAGGAGAGAAACATACTAGAAAACAGGAAAATGCCACAGAAAAGCCTCAGAAAACTGCAGGTGAATAAAAGGATGCTCAAAAAGACTATTTGAAATCCAAAGAATTTAATGATTTCCACATGGCATTATTTTTACTCATTTAAGAGAATTCTGAAAACTGACAGAAGCTGGCAGAAGAATCAACAGAGCATTTTATAAACGTACTTCTTTTTATAAAATACAATCCAGCTGTCCCTATTCAACGCGCTTGAAGACAGTGCTATATCAAGTGCACTTCATTTAAGGAGTATTCAATGATCATTTGAATACTAGTGAATTTGATTTCCTTTCTCTAAATGTAAGATCTCTTTGCATTCTTTATTCTTTTAGCCTCTCTGGACAGGATACTAGAATACAGCAGGGGTCAAGGAAACAGCAGAGAGAAGAATGAGGAACAAATGAAAGTGGAGAAATAACATAAACCTGAAAATATTGAGATTGATATTTAAGAACAGAGATAAATAAGAAGGATCATTATAAAAGTATACAAATAATAGATATCTAACTTTAGAAAAGACAGATGGGAGGAATTTTCTTCCCTGTATCATAATAGAAGAGAAAATAAAAAAGAGGACAACAAAAGAAAAGTAACACTGATAAATTCAAAACTGATAAAATATTTCTGCATGTAACACTTCAGTAACTGGTGGGATTAGGTTTTATTTGGATCAAGAATTTGAAAAGGCATAAAAATGAACTGGACACTTATTTCAGTCTGCCATTCTCAAACCAGAGAGGCATAGAAAGTCCCAAAGAAGAACAGAGCTAAGAGCACTCAGGGAACTCCCACTCAGTCTCTTCCTTTCCTCTTCCCCACCTTCTCCTCCCTCAACTTCTCTCCCCTCTAACAGCCACATGACTAACTAGAACTGCAAGAATATGAATTTGGGAGGGAAAAACAATTCCTCCAAAGGATTTTATTTCCACAAAGTCTATGCAGACAGGCTGTAGCCATGGCTAGTGCTGAGAACACCAGCTAGGCAGCCTCAGGAAGGATCCTCAGCTATAAGCTAGTGTGCAAGGATTTGAGTCACCTTGACCGGATGGGGCAGGACCACCACTAGAGCTAACAGCAATCAATACCACAAATAGCATGGGAAATTAAGTAAAACCAGCATGGTGGTCTCTGGGCTTAAATCAAGCCATTTGTGATTAGACTGAGCGTTTTGGGAGCATCATATTATCTCCCTTCTGCTTACTATGGAGATGGTCACTGCATCTGAAGCGTTTCATATTGGCTAGTGTCAGTGATGACCTTTCCTCCATTGACAGACTACATGAAACAGCGCCGCATCCAGCAAAGAAATATTCCAGACCAAGAAGCTCATGAACATCATAAAAGATTCCGTTCATGATTCAGGATAATGAAAGTCATTTCTGGTAGAATAATAAAAACCTCCCTTATTAATGAGATGCCTTCCCAAAGGCACACAAAAAACCAATTCACGAGTAGTCACTTAAGAGCATTTTATTAGACAACACGTTATACTGCCTCAAAGCATAACACTGATTCACAGTATACAAGAGGGCAATGAACCAAACTCAAAAAGAGCATGCGAATACATTTTCTCCCACAGCTGTAATACCTTACAGTGGATGAGACACTAGCAATGTCCTATAAATGTCTACCAGAATTGAATTCCAGGACAAATCTATGACTCACCAAATATTATGAGTATTATGACCCTGACCTTTGGTTTGGAACAGTACTGCCCAATAAAATAACTCTTAAACGGCCATTTGCAAACTAACACTTAAATTTTAGACTAATTATAGCGTATCTATTAACTTTTTTCCCCCCACAAACATTTTTTTTTAATGGCAAATTCAAGTTAACTATGTTTTAAAGATTTTTCAAACAAGGACACCCTTTAGTACTGATTCTAACGATAGAAGGAGTTTGAACACTCTTAATGCTAAGGATATATTCACTGCCTATTAAATCCAACCAGTAGAAATGAGCTGTGGGCAAAAGAACTCTCTTGCGAAGCTAACAATTTTTCTGATATTAAATAATTCTGGACACTGCAGGAATGAAAGAGAATCTCTTCCCTTTTTTCTCATCATTACACCATACAAGAAGGTCGATGCTTTCTCTTGAATTGAGAGAGAAAATATTTAGTTCTGAAGAACTTGCATATGAAGGATTAACATAAGAACATAAAATCTGAATTTCTATGTAAAGATATACAACACAACCACTGAGAAACATTTTGAACTACAGCATTCCAGAAAAAACAGACCGACTTTGTGACTCCTCAGGGAAGAGGAGGAGTTTCACTTGAAGAAGTTCCTGTAATCAGTAAATCCAGGTCACATATCCTACTAAATTCAGAATAGATTTAAATTTTGTCCTAGGGGCTTTAG